CGGTACCGACTCCTCATACCCCTGCAGTGTCGGTAGTGATGGGCATCCCCAGCGTGCGGCGCGAGGTGCACTCGTACCTGACGGACACACTGCACTCGCTCATCTCGGAGCTGAGCCCGCAGGAGAAGGAGGACTCGGTCATCGTGGTGCTGATCGCCGAGGCGAGTGGGCTGGGGGACGGGGTGGGGGCGGGGTGGAGCATTCGGGGAACACAGGGCACGAAATAACAAGGAGGAGAAATGAAAACAGAGCAACATTCTGGAGGAAAACACTGCTAGAGGTTCGATTGTCAGTTTCATTCACAAATTTATGAAAAGTTAAAAAAAAAAAAAAAGAAAAAGAAAAGAACCATTTCAGCGCCCCCTGGTGGAGACGCCAGTTACCTAGGCTGCCGCACCCCCAGGGCCCCGTGTACACAGAAGGCCCCACCTGTGGCCCCCAGGCCCAGACTTACTCGGCCCTCAGGATGGAGGGTTCACTCCCTCTGTGCATGGGGTCATCTGAAGCCCGCGCCCTTCCCCCAACCCCTTCTCTCAGGGCATTTGGGGTGGCAGTCAGACTTAGGGAGGGCACTTGGTCTCCCCACAGACTGACCCACAGTACACCTCAGTGGTGACAGAGAACATCAAAGCCTTGTGAGTACTGGCGGACCCATAAAACTGGTGGGGGGGAGGGGCTCTGCAGAGTGTGGGGCAGGCAGGTGCCTTCTTCCCCTACATGATCCTGGCTTCTTATGTGGGAAAGGGGGCTACCTCTCTTCTCTGAAAGACAGTGAGTGTGTAGAGGTGGCCCAGCCCCCTGGAGCCTCACTGCCTCCTTAGGGTGGGTGTGCTGTTGGGTGATGGCTGCCTGGGGGGCCTGAGCAGAGGGACTGGGTCCAGCTAGCTCAGCACTGCCCCAACTGCTGTGCCTGGAGACTGCCCACCCACTGGCCTTCCGTCCCCCCAGGTTCCCCACGGAGATCCATTCCGGGCTCCTGGAAGTCATCTCCCCTTCCCCCCACTTCTACCCTGACTTCTCCCGCCTCCGAGAGTCCTTTGGGGACCCCAAGGAGAGAGTCAGGTACGAGAACTCCCCCCTTCCCCATGCACCCTGACCACCTGCCCACTGGTGCTGAGAACCTGGTCTGTGGGTGCCCAAGTCCCAGGCACTTCCTGGCAGTGCCTCCGTTTCTCCATCAGAGAACCCCTGCATGGGGTTGGGGTGGTGGGTCTGAGCTCCTGAGCCCCTGCCCCTGCCTTGCAGGTGGAGGACCAAACAAAACCTCGATTACTGCTTTCTCATGATGTATGCGCAGTCCAAAGGCATCTACTACGTGCAGGTCAGCACCGAGACCCTGTTTTGCCCCCCATCGGCCCTGGCCCCTGGTGGTGAGCCCAGCCCCACCCCAGTGCCCATCCTGAGTCCAGCCCCCCTTCTACCCACCCCTGTGCAGCTGGAGGATGACATTGTCGCCAAGCCCAACTACCTGAGCACCATGAAGAACTTTGCACTCCAGCAGCCTTCAGAGGACTGGATGATCCTGGAGTTTTCCCAGCTGGGCTTCATTGGTGCGCCCCCCCCACCCCACCCCATGCCACCAGCCTGACCAGGGCCCCTCAGTCTGGCCGACCTTGGCCTCTCTGTCCTTGTCCCTGCAGCCCTGGGACCACAGAACGTCATGCTTGCAAGCTTTGCCAGGAGTGTCCCCTGCAGCCCCAGCTGACCTGTTTCCCCTCGCCCTCTACCACAGGATGTTGGGGCTCACCACACCCGTCTGTCCCCTCGTGCCCGCCCCTGTCTGTAGCTGGCCATGGGGCTTTCTGTGGGAGCCTTCTTAGTGACCCCCCCACACCCACCCAGCACTCCTTCCCCCCTTTCCACCCCCAGGAAAGATGTTCAAGTCGCTGGACCTGAGCCTGATTGTGGAGTTCATCCTCATGTTCTACCGGGACAAGCCCATTGACTGGCTCCTGGACCACATTCTGTGGGTGAAGGTCTGCAACCCCGAGAAGGATGCGGTGAGCAGGAACAGCACCAAGGGCGGGGCAGGGCAGGGGGAGGCATGCAGCCTCCAGCATGGACCGACACAAGGAGACAACCAAGCTGGGCCCTCAGCTATCCCTATCCCTCTGCAGAAGCACTGTGACCGGCAGAAGGCCAACCTGCGGATCCGCTTCAAGCCATCCCTCTTCCAGCACGTGGGCACGCACTCCTCACTGGCTGGCAAGATCCAGAAACTGAAGGTGGGCTGTGCCACCCTCGGGCCTGGCTGGGGACAGGCAGAGCCCCAGGGAGCTGGGGAGGGTGGCTGGGGGTGGCAGGGCAAGTCCCCCTCGAGAGGGGGCCCTCTCTAAGTCTGCTGTTCCTCCTCGGTGGCAGGACAAGGACTTTGGGAAGCAGGCACTGAGAAAGGAGCACGTGAACCCACCGGCCGAGGTGAGCACAAGCCTCAAGACATACCAGCACTTCACCCTGGAGAAGGCCTACCTGCGCGAGGATTTCTTCTGGGCCTTCACGCCTGCGGCCGGGGACTTCATCCGCTTCCGCTTCTTCCAGCCGCTGCGCCTTGAGCGGTCAGTCCTGGCACCCATAGCTCCACCCCGGGGGAGGGGCAGGGAGACCGCCAGGGGATCGGCCTCACCATATGCCCCTCTTGGGCCCCCAGCAAATGACTTAACCTCACCTTGCCTCAGTGTCCTTATCTGAAGAGGAAGGTTCAGCATGGTAGGTACTAAGTATAAGGCAGTGCCCACAGTAGCTCTGTGACAGTGGCCCATCACCTTCATCCCTGGTTGCCTTGCACGAAACAACGTCTACCCCCCGGGTGGTCCCCCGCCTGGCTCAGCACCCCAGGGCTCACCTGCTACCCTCCTGGGCCAGGCCTGGCCTTTTCTGTGCCAGATGGGGGCCAGGGCTGCACCCCCATCCCTCTCCCTCCCCCACCCCTCCCCCACCCGGGCAGCAACTCACAGGCCTGTCTGGCCGCAGGTTCTTCTTCCGCAGCGGGAACATCGAGCACCCAGAGGACAAGCTCTTCAACACGTCAGTGGAGGTGCTGCCCTTCGATGTGAGTGTGGCAGGGGAAGGATGTGCTGGAAGGCCGGCCCCTCCCACGGCCACTGGCTTCAGCCCCTTTCTGTTGCCCCCCAGAACCCCCAGTCAGACAAGGAGGCCCTGCAGGAGGGCCGCTCAGCCACCCTCCGGTACCCTCGGAGCCCTGACGGCTACCTCCAGATAGGTGAGTGGGGGGCAGGCAGGAGGACACGGGGGTTGGGGGGATGGGGCTGGGCTGAGCGGAGGTCTGGGGCTCGCGGCTCAGCGCTGCCCTCCCTCAGGCTCCTTCTCCAAGGGTGTGGCAGAGGGCGAGGTGGACCCTGCCTTTGGCCCCCTGGAAGCACTGCGCCTCTCCATCCAGACGGACTCCCCAGTGTGGGTCATTCTGAGCGAGGTAAGCCGGGCAGGTCAGGGAGCCAGACCAGGGCTGAGCGCTGAGGCCCCCCGCACCTCGCTGACCCCGAGCCCTGCTCTTCTAGATCTTCCTGAAAAAGGCCGACTAAGCCGAGGGCTTCTGAGGGTGCACTCTGGCCGGTCCTGAAGCCCCCTGGGAGACCCAGGATGTTGTCGCTGCTGCCCCGGAGGGCCCGGTGCCGCCGCCGCCCCAAGCCTGAGGGGTTCTGCCCGGCGCCCCGCTCCGCAGGCCTGGGATCCCCGCTGGCCCGGAGGCCCCAGGAGCTGGTGCTGCCCCCGCCCGCCCGGCCGCGGGAGGAGGCAGGCGGCCCCCACACTGTGCCTGAGGCCGGCCCTTGCCGCCCGGAACCGTTCGCATCCCCGGCCGGCTCGAGCCAGGCCGTTTTAGAAGAGCTTTTTCCTGGGCGCCCGCTGTCTCCGGCGCGAACACTGGAATGCATATACTACTTTATGTGCTGTGTTTTTTATTCTTGGATACATTTGATTTTTTCACGTAAGTCCACATATACTTCTATAAGAGCGTGACTTGTAATAAAGGGTTAATGAAGCGCGTGCCTCCTGTGTGAGTGCGCGTTCCCAGAGCTCCGGCCGGTGGCGGGAGGCCGAGCGCCAGGCAGTGCCGCCGGTGCCCGCGGCCACCTCCGCCCGCCGCGCCGCGCAGCTCCGCACGACCTCGGCCGCGCTTCCCCAAGGGCCCGGGCCTCCGGAGCGGTGACTTGCAGGTGGAGCCGGCACGGAATCCCGGGGCGGGAGCCCAAAGCCTCCTCTGCTTCCGGACGACCGCCCCCGCCCCCCGCCAAGCACGCCCCCTAACACCCATCATCCCGCCGCAACTGCCTGCTCCTCTCAAACGCGAGGCATCCCGGATCTTCCACATCGTGAGTCCCAGCCCTGCTCTAGTCTTCGGTCCCCAAGGCCCGGCTCACCCCGCCACGCCCCCCACCCACGTATCGGACATATTTTAGGGTCTCCCGCCCACGTTGGGGCCAGTGCACGCGCGGCTGCCCTGCCTGGAAAGCTCCTCTCTTCTGCAGACTGGGCTAAAAAATCTCCTCTTTAGGGACGCTGTCCGGCCAGCAGGCCTTGCCCAGGTCTGGTCACCCAAGGCACCCGGGCGTCCCTCCCCCGCCCCCCAGAGCGCCTGTCACAGCTACGTTGCCTGCACTGGTCGCCGCCCCCACGGCTGCGCGCCAGGGTGCCTGAGCATCTACACCGTGCTGGACGCCAGGCACCGAGTGCTGACCCGAAAATGGCCCTGGTGTCAGCTGTGAAAGCCAGGGGACGAGGAAGAGGGCGGCGGGGGGACAGTGAAGAGGCAGCAGGCCTCAGAGGAGGGGACAGGCGAGGAAAGCGTTGAACGCAGGGAAGAGGAGCCGTGGGGTGAACCCCGGTGAAAAGGGCGGCCCCAGGGCCGGAGAGCAGGGCCGGAGAGGGCCCTGTCCTTCCGCAGCACCCCACCCTCCGGGAAGCCCACCGGCCGCCGCGGCTCGGGGCTGGGCTCCACCGCACGCGACGCGCGAACCCCTCCGACCCAGAGCATGCGTCCGTGGTCCAGCCATCGACACTTTAATTGGAGACTGAGATGGGGCGAGCACCCCTCCCCTGTCCTCCCGGAAGCTCCGGCCCTTCTCCGGTTCCGCTGACCAGGCGTCCTCCATCTCAGGCCCTGGGCAGCAGCTTCCCGAGCCGTCCCAGGAGCGCGGCGCGCAGCGCGCGGGGGAGAAAGTGGACGAGCAGGCCGAGCGCCGCGAGCGCCACGAGCAGCCAGAGCGCGCGCGCGCTCGCGTACAACGGGGTCAACCTGCGGGCGGGGCTCAGCGGGGGCGGGGCGCCGGCGGCCCCGCCCCGCCCCCCTGCCCGGGCCGTCAGACCCCGCCCACAAGGCCCCCGCCCCGCCCCGTCCGATCCCCACTTCCTCGGCCCCTGGCGCCCTCCCACGATCCCCGCCCGGGTCCTCACCTTTGCTGCGCCGAGCGCGCGTAGCCCTGAAAGTAGCGGAGGCGCGCGAAAAGGTAGACCAAGCCGCACAGGGCCGCTGTACCTGGGGGAGGGCGGGCGGGGCAAGGTGAGCCGACGGGCGCGGGACCCGGGGCTGCGGGGTGGGCGCGCCTGTCCCGAGCGCAGACCTTCGTGAAAGAAGATGCCGGCGACCCAGAGCGTGGCCAGGAACAGCGGGAAGTACTCGCTGCAGTTCACCCTGCGGTGGGGGCGGCATGAGGGCGCCGACGGAGGCGTGGGGGGCGCTCGGACCCTGCCGCCTCCCGGGCTCGCTCCCTTCCGGTCCCGCGCCCTCCCTCCAAGTCTCACTGGGCTCGGTAGACGCGTTCGAACTCCGGCGGCCCGGTGGTGAGCGGCGGAGAGACGCGGAAGGCTCTGCGCGCGGAGATCACCTGCAGGGAGAAATAGGCTGGGGGCGAGAAGGGGCGGGAGTCAGGTCTGGCTGCCCGGAGGCCCGCACCCTCTGTCCGTTCCCACCTTTTCTGCGCCCTCTCCTCGCCGACCTTGTCACGACTCCCCTTTAAAGCTTTCCTGGAAAATAAAGGCCAGCCAAGGGGCTCTCTCGCCCCCACCCCTTGTTTCTGGGCCCGCCCAGTATTTAAGATGCTCAAGAGGGAGTTCAGGGTGAGGGCCTGGGATGCCAAGATGCCCCTGCCCTGTCCCTCCATCCCACCTCCCCAGACACATTTGTACCGGGGAGGGACTGGAAGCTCAGGACTTGGCTCCTGAGTCCTTTGACTTGCAAAACACAGGCAAATGACTAGCTCCTACTCTTTAGACACGGACCTTGACTTTGGGGGTCCCTGAAGAGGGCACACAACTGGGGCTTGAGGGCAGAGGTGGCTCTTCCTTCCAGGTACAGGAGAGTATACACTCTGCGGTCTACAGTTTCTGGTCCCCACCTACAGGGCCCACTGGGCGGGGAGGATCTCTTGACCCTACATCAGGCCAGTTTCTCTGTTCACGTGTTCCGGACCCCAACCTAAATCTGACAGACATTCCCTCTCCTCTCCTCAGGTGGTTGCTGCTGGGACACTTCTAGTCCCACCCCGGGCCTCCTGGGGCTCTGTCTCCCTCCATTTCAGCATGGGTGGCTGTGGAGGGTGGGCTGGCCCCAGAGGATCTGCATGCACAGGGTCCCCACCACACACACAGCTCCGGTGCTGGTTGTCACCAGCTGTCTTCCAGCAACTCCTGTGGCCTTGGTGCCCTTGGTGCCATATACCTTCCCAGCTGCCCTGTGGGTGCCGAGGGCATGCGTACCATCAGTGTAGGACCTGGAGGAGGCCCTGTGGCTGCATGAGGAGGGCTTGCTGGCTGCATGAGGAGGGCTTGCTCATGAAGCAGAAGATAAATTCAGCCCCATAGCAGGGCCCCTGCCCAGGCTATGCCTTGTCCTAGCCCCTACAGCGTGGGGTCACGGTGTCCCAAGTGGGTCCCAAGGATACCTAGCCTGGGAATGTGTCCTCTAGGGCTAGCCTAAAAGGCCAACACACAGGCCCCTTTGGGGGCTCAGGGAGCAGGTTCCAACCCTGTCCAGCTCTATGTGGATCCCAGCATAGAGAGGATGCCTTTGAAGGCAGAGCTGGATTCTCCTGGGAACTCCAGCAAGAGGACAGTGGGAGAGGAAAAGGGAGGGAGAGGACAAGGGCAGGATCCATTGGAGCAGGGCTGCACCAGGCCCACGGCTGCCCCTCTTCGAGACCACAGCCAGAACCATGCAAGCTTCTCAGTATTCAACTGCGGCCAGAAGAGGTGGGGCCCCAGGACTCTGGGCGCTCCAGACTTTGCCTCTGCCCCTACCATCCCCCCTCCTCGGGCCCTCCAGCTCCTCCCCAGGGTCTGGAGGGCAGAAGGCAGGCTGCAGGAGTCCAGAGCCCATCCACCTCCCCAAACAGGAGCCATCTCACCTTGCAGCAGGACTCCCAGGAGGGTGACAGTGGCCAGAAGAGCCACCTCGTCCTGCATGGTGCTGGCAGCTCTATGGGCCCAGGCTGGTGTGTGAAGAGAGTCACTGCAGAGTTCTTCTCAGCCCCAGTCCGCTGGCTCTCTCAAAAGGCTGGCAGGAAAGGAAGACTGGCCCTTCTCCCCGCCCCTTCTCAGGGGAGGGGCCTGAAGGAGGGGCGTGACCACAGCCAGTGAAAGGGCAGAAGCCTGAGCAGGCGGAAACCAGGGCCAGAGGGAGCCCAGGGAAGGATGGAGCAGCGGCCTGGGGGCAGCCTGGCCATTTCCTCCCAATCATTGTTTTGTTTTGTTTAAGATTTTACTTATTTATTTGAGAGAGGGAGAGCATAAGGAGAGGGACAAGTGGACTCCACACTGAGCGTGGAGCCCTATGTGGGGCTCAATCCCATGATCCTGAGATGACCTGAGCCAAAACCAAGAGGCAGAGGCTTCATGGACTGAGGCCCCACCAGGCGCCCCTTCCCGGTCATTCTTGCCTCTTCTGTGCCTAGCGTTGTGCTGGCAGAGCTCCAGGCATCTGCCCGAGCCTCCTGCAGCCTTGCGTGGGCCTGGCTCCCTTGTCCACCCAGCGTCCTCCAGGCCCTGCACCCACAGCAGTCCCCGTTGGCTTTCCGGACCTCCCCTTGTCCTGAGTCCGGTCCCAGGGAACCAGAGGGTCCTCCCCAACGCCCCCCCCCCAACCCCCCCTTCGGCTATCACTTTCCACTGACCCTCAAGTCCTTCTCATTCTCAAATCCACCCCGTGCCACCTTCTGAGCCCTGCCCTGCATCAGTCGTCTCTCATTGGGGCACAGGTCACGGGCTCCTCAAGGGTTCCCAGCCCCACCCCCCCCCCACCCATACATGCTCACATACCTGTTTCCCCCACCGCCCAACCAGGGCTGTGATGGAACATGGAACCCTGATGCAGGACTGTCGCTGCACCCAGACCACACTGGGCACAGCCATGTCCCTGCTCCCCTCAGGAAACCTGATGTCTGCCAGCTTCACAGCTGCCTGGGCTCTGTGCACACAGACCACTAGAAGACGACCCTGCTAGCCTGGCACGGTGGGTCAGACCCCTCAGGATCCTTGAGCCCATCCTCTCCTGGGGCTCTGACCCTAGCCAGAATGGTCACCTGCTGTTTCCACCTGCCCAGCGTCCCCCACTTGGGGGATCCCAACCCTTCATCTTCCCAGGTCCTATGGTGTGGACAGAGCTGCCTGCCACCCCTCCCAGGCCTGAGGGATGGACATGTGAGTCAGAACTGACTGTGCTGGCTGAGGCTAATTCAAGAGGGTGAGATGCAGTTCTGGAAACTTCCTTAGAACTTTGGGAAACGGAACTCTGGGGGGGAGGAAGATTTCTGAGGGCCCTTTATGGCCACTGGCCACCCCAAGGAGGAGAGAGCCAACATGAGGCCACACTGGGAGGAAGGAGGTGGCTGATGTCCTGGAGCCCCAGGGCCAACTTGCCCAGAGCAACCCTCTAGCCGGGCAGCCTTGCCATTTCATAAGGCAGCCACTTCTTCCTTTGTGTAGGGCTGGTTGGAGCTGGGTTTGGTCAACAATGGCAGAGCCCAGCCTGATAGGGGCACATGGGCAGGAGCTGACAAGGCTGCACACACAGGCAGGTCCGGCTGCAGGAGGGAGAAGTGGCTGGGTCCTTGGGGCAACCGCCTCTGCATTTAGTCCTGGGCCGTTATGAAACCCTGGCACCCTCTGCCTGGTTGCTCTGGGGGAGTCTCCACATGTCAGCGTCCGGGGACCCCAGGAGCTCTGTCCTTGCCACCTAGTGTTGTGGTGCATGGAAATGAAGTTCTCAGTCACCAGCCTGAGCAGCTGTGCTGGGCCGCCTCTGCCAGGGAGAACAGCTGCCGCTGAATCCCGCACAGAGTTTTTATTTTTGTTTTTTTATCAGAAAGCAAGGACAGATGTCTCCAACCATGGAAAGGAGTACAAAGGGGCAAATATCTTCCCTAGGCATAGGCACTCAGGGAGTCAGTCCTGGGATAAGGGAGGAGCAGATGTTCGTGCTAGCAATCTCCAGGTACAGAAAGGGGAGGCTGAGGTTACATTCCTTCCTAGCTCCTAACTCATGCCCTGTGCCTGGGGATCATGGGATCCTGCTCCCACCAGGCCACTGCACTCAACAGCTGAGAACAGGACCGCAGCTGACACTCACCCCTTAGGGCTTACGATATATTTTCTAAGAATAATTCCACAGTTCCCCCTTGCCTTGACAACTATAATGAGAAAGGAGATCATTAAAAGCAGTATGCCCATGTCAAACCGAGAGTAGAAATTGAACCCAGGGAACCAATTTTTTTTTCTGGACTGAGCACACAGAAACGTCCCTGACATTCTTCATGATAGCCTGTTGACTTCCCTGTAGTTGTGCTTATACCCTAAGTTTCAAATTTTCAATGGAGAGATTCAAAGAGGAGGAAAAGCCTTGATGAAGATGAGTCTTCAATTGCCCCCAAGTCTGGTTATAGGGAATTGAAGTAACGCAGTGGGAGGAAAGAGTCAGGAGTTTGCTGGGATCTGGTCCAGAGTGCTTGGGATCTAGCGCCTCCTAGCCAGACAACAGCGGCCTTGAGAGCCTACCATCTAGCTAAAATGTGTGGCTTGACCTTGACCCGTTCTTCTAAATTAGATGTAGTGTTTTGCATATATGAATGCATTTGTCGCGCAGTTTGGAGATAGAAAAGATGCGGCAGCAATGGCCGAAACAGCAGTGATGGTTAAAATGGCTGCTAATGGGATACCTACGAACCTATTTGTTCTTTTTCTCTCTCTTGTAAAGCATAGACCAGTTATTATAGGCGAGATCCCCCCTTGCCATGGCCCGGACAATCGGACTGAGAGCCAGGCTTGGGCTTAAAGGACAGAAAATGCTCCAATAAAGCCTTCTTGTTTGGGGGCTTTTTATAACCTTTTTTTTTTTTTTTTTTTTTTTAAATGGAAAAGGAGGCACTCTCTCCGACAGCTTTATTTTCTGCCCTCAGAGAGGGCGGAGGATGAGGCAATTTATTAGGGGATAATGTTGGAGCCTCTGGTGGGGTGCTAGGGGCTGTTGTTGCAACTGGGGACAGTGGGGGCCAGATTTGAAAGGGGGAGGAATAAAGTCCTGCCAACTAGTTTTAGCTGTTTTTCTTCTGCAAAGAGTAGATAGCAATCCATGGATCCGAATGAGAAATTTTAAGAGGACCCAAAGCATCTTTTAGCCTTTTGCCCATGTGCTCTCAGTCTTCAACCGAAAGAGCCTTCAGGCAGGTGCCCTAGGCAATGTTGATATAGTACAGACAACAGCTGTGTCGAATCTTCATTCCTTCGAATCCTATAGAATGTAGCAGTATATGTAGTTGTTTTTTATGAGAACCTGTTCCTTCCTTAAATATGTTCCCATGACTGACAGGTTTATAACAGACAGAAAAGTAGATCAGGACGAAATAGAAAGTAAATTCTGCACAAAATAGAGAAAAAATGAGGTCAATGGTTACTCCGTCACAGACATCGAGTGCCTGTAGTTCCTACCTGGATGAGCGGACGTCCTTTCCCTTTCTAGGGCTTGAGGAGTGATGTGCAGACGAGGACTCTTACCAGATCCTGAAGATGTCCAAGCGCCAAATGTCATTGCGCACTGAAATAAAATTCTCAGTCACCAACCTGAGCAGCCATGCAGGGCTGCCTCTGCTAGGGGGAGCAACCGCCACTGAATCCCACACAGAGCTTTTATTTTATTATTATTATTTTTTTATCAGAAAAGCAAGGACAGACGCCTCCAAGAGTGGGAAAGGAGTACAAAGGGGCAAATATCTGGAAGTGGGCTTGCATTCTTCCCTAGGCATGGGCACGCAGGGAGTCAGTCCTGGGATAAGGGAGGAGCGGATGTTCGTGCTAGCAATCTCCGGGTGCAGAAAGGGAGGACTGAGGTTACATTCCTTCCTAGCTTCTAACTCATGCCTTGTCCCCTGGGGATTGTGGGATCTGCTCCCAGGGGCCACTGTGTTCAACAGCCTGAGAACAAGACTGCTGCTGACACTCCCACACTCGTCCCTTAGGGCTTACGATATATTTTCTAAGAATAACTCCACAACCCATCTGGCCTCTTTCCTTGCTGCCCCCACAAGCATGGGTTCTAGCCTGAGAGCTTCGTAGTCTGCTGGGCTCCCCGAGAGCCCCTTTCACCCCTCTCCTGTCCTGGCCAGTGCCCAAGGAATGCCCTTTGCCATCAGGGGGCGCTGCAGGCCCCCTGGCGACAGGGGTGGGGGCTCCATGCCAGTGCCCTGCTTTAGACCAGCTCTGCCAATTGCAGGAGTGGGCGCTCAGGGGTGGAGACATGTCCTCCAGCTCGCTCACTCTCTCTCTGCCACTCAGCCCCCTTCCTCCCTGAAAGCGGTCCTGACCACAGTCCCCTGTCCAGCCTCCTCTCCCACCCCCTCGGGGACGACTATGAGGACCATGCGTGTCTGTGGGCAGGCATGGTGTGTGTCCCTTGGGGCCTCTGTGCCTGTCGCGTTTGGGAGCTCACGTGTGTGTCTGTGGGTCTCCACACATTTCAGGGGATCCCTTCTGCCAAAGCCTCATTTCCTCTGAGGCCCAGACATCCTCCCCTTCAAGCCAATCCCCTGCCCTGGCAACAGGAAGCTGAGGCCTAGCCCAAGCAGCTTCTGAGGAAGTCCTTGGGCAGAGGTCCATGCCATAACTGGGGTCTCCACCCCTGGAGCTCTCCCCAGGCCTTCTCATCTGCACCTCCCTCCCTGCCCTCGCCCAGCCTCTCAGGGCCCTGCCTGGGCTGGGACTGCTCCGGCTGACCGAGGTGTCGCCGGAGGCCCCTCTGGGCATGGCCATCCTCCTGGGCAGCCCTAAGGTGCTCATATCATGAAGGAAGTGGAAAAGCCCCTCCCTGAGCCCCTGCAGGACACACCTCTGTGACCCTGGACCTACTTCTCCTACAGGGGCCCTGAGGAACATTCTGGAAGCTGAGCTCATCAAGGACCTCTGAGGAAAGGAAGAGCCAACAGAGCCATTTTGTTGAGAAGAAACCACAACTTCAGAACAACAGACCGTGATAAGCGTGAAGAACTCAGACACTAAGCTAAATTTAAAAAGTAATAATAAAAGGGGAGCAGGGTTGAGGGGAGAGAGAGGAGGGCTGCTGGGACTGGCTGACTTAGTTGACTGGAGCTCATGACTAAATCCTGGGGTTGTGAATTCAAGACCCACACTGGGTATGGAGATAAATAAATAAACCTTTAAAAAAAAGATGTTAAGGGGCGCCTGGGTGGCTCAGTGAGTTAAAGCCTCTGCCTTCAGCTCAGGTCATGATCCCAGGGTCCTGGGATCGAGCCCCGTGTCGGGCTCTCTGCTCGGCAGGGAGCCTGCTTCCCTTCCTCTCTCTCTGTCTGCCTCTCTGCCTACTTGTGATCTCTATCTGTCAAATAAATAAATAAAATCTTTAAAAAAAAAGATGTTAAAATTATTTTACTTACCAAAAACGTTGCAAAAATAGTACACAGTTCCCAGATACCCTTCGCCCAGCTTCCCTTAATGTTAAAATCTGATAAGCCATAATTCCATTATGTAAACTGAGAAATTAATATGGATACAAATCTATCACTGGTCATTCTAGAGACCTTATTTAACATACACCAACTGTCCCACCAAAATGGGACAAAGGCCTCAAAACCATTATACTAAGTTATACCAAACACAGAAGGCCATATATTATATGATCTTTACATGAAATGTCCAGAAAAAGCAAACCAAAAGATGCAGAGAGTAGAACACTGGGAGTCCAGGGCTCGGGGTGGGATGAAGACATTCTAAAACCAGATTATGTTTGCACAGCTCAGTATATTTACTAAAAGTCACTGAAGTGTATTTACTAAAAGTCACTGAATGGGGGGCGCCTGGGTGGGTCAGTGGGTTAAGCCTCTGCCTTCGGCTCAGGTCATGCCTCTCTGCCTGCTTGTGATCTCTGTCTGTCAAATAAATAAATAAAATATTTTAAAAAATAAAGTCACTGAATGGTACCTTTAAAATGGGCAAATTTTGTGGTATATCAGTTAGTTGATGCCTGAACAACGAATGTAGCACAGTCAAACATCTGAGTATAATTCCCTCAAAACTTAACTTTAACAGCCTATGGTAGACCAGAAGCCCTACCCATAATGTAATCAATTCACATGTATTTTGTATTTTGTGTTTTACATGTCTTATATACTACAGCCTTACAATAAAGTTAGCTAGAAAAAATTATTAAGAAAATCACAAGGGGGCGCCTGGCTGGTTTACTCCATTGAGCGTGTGACTTGGGATTTCAGGGATGTGAGTTCAAGCCCCAAGTTGGGTGTAGAGATTACTTAAAATATTTTTTTTTCTTGAAGATTTTATTTATTTGACAGAGAGAAACAATGGAAGAGTGAACACAAGCAGGGGGAGTGGTTAAGGGAGAAGCAGGCTATCCCTAAAAATAAAATCTTCAAAAAAAAATCATAAAAAAGAGAAAACACATTTACAGAATATACTGTATTTATCAAAAAAAATCTGCGTCTAAGTGGACCTGTGCAGTTCAAACCCGTGTTTTTCAAGTGCCAGCTATATATCTCCATGCAGTTGTTTTAATGCATAATACAAAGAATGTGTGTATGTGCTTGACTGAGCTTCCTCAAATGATAGCATGTTATGTAACAACAGCATAATGATTACAACCAGGTAATTTTGTAATATTGATCCAGGACTCTTAATCAATAGACCTTATCCAGATTTCAATAGTTGTCCCATAATGTCCTTTTACTGGTCCAGGATCTGATGGAGTATCATGTGTCCTTAGCTTACTCCAGGCTGGGACAACTGGATGGTCCCTCAGCCTGTCTCTGTCTTTTTATGATCTCGGCACTGTTGAGGACTGCCAGTCCCTGTTTGGTTTGTCTGATGTTGTCACGTGTTAGACTGAGTTCAGACTCAGTTTTGACAAGAATGCCACAGATGTGCCATGTGCCCTTCACGTCAGAAGGGACATGAATTCCATAGGTCACCACTATAAGCTTTAGGAGGAAGGAAGGAAGGAAGAAGGAAGGAAGGAAGGAAGGAAAGAAGGAAGGAAGGACCGCTGATGCTGGCACTTCCTGCTCTAGACTTTCAGCCCAGCCTGCCCTCAGCCCACACTCCACCAGCAGAGTCCCTCACTGATTCATGGCTCTGAACTGGGTCTTCCTCAGCCTGATGCCCTTTGGGTGCTGGGGCCCCTTAGGCACCTGCCAGGACTCCTGAGACCCTTCCCTGGCTTCCCTTGTCCCTCTCCATTTTCCTAGTTGGGTTTTCTATCTCTGCACCCTTCCAGGAGGGCTTGAGAGGAGACACCTGTGCTATGCCTGGCCCCCAGGCTCGGTGTGGAGAGGGTGCTCAAAGAAACGGAGCCACGAATGAGGAAACAGAGGGCTGCCCAGCTGGCCTGGCTGTGCTTCCATTCCCCGCCCACCTGCCCCCCAGAAACCACTGAACTGATAGTGAGCCCATGGTGACCTGAGTACACAGGGCACTTCCCTTTAGGGGAGGGTTGGGGGGGGCACTGGCCATAGTGTCGCAAGGTTTTCACAAGGATACTTGGCCTCTGCTTCAGTCAGTGGGGTTCTGGGTCTGAGAACTGATTTAGGTTTGGAAACGGGCAAGGGATCATGTGTTCCCACTGGCTCGGCTAACTTGGCTTTTCTGCTTGTCTGTTCTGGATCTCCTTTGGTTATGATATCTGTTAAGCAGTGTATCCCCCATCAGCTGCCTGTTACTCTTGTCACTAGGTACCCCATTTTCTGTGAGCAATTGCTCTAGACCCTTTTTTTTTTTTTTTAAGATTTTATTTGAGAGAGAGAGGGAAAGGCAGAGGGAGAGGGAGAAGCAGACTCCCCGCCGAGTAGGGAACCCGATGCTGGATTCAATCCCAGGACCCTGAGATCATGACCTGAGATCATGACCTGAGCCGAAGGCAGATACTTAACCAAATGACCTACCCGGGTGCCCTAGACCCTGCCATTTGATCCTGCAAACCATCATGGCAGTCATTGACACATGGCCTTTGCCAGGTGTGTGTTGTGCTCTAGGTTTTCTGCCTCTATCATTTCCATTTGTTCCCCAGGCACCCTGTTCTATCATGGCATCTCTTATCACCCATCCCAGACCACAGCGGCCAAGGAGAGTCATGTAACAAACTCAAGCGTGTTCTGGGCCTTCCAAAAGGAGTCTTAGCCAAGTTCCATTTCACAGGGAATGAGCCGGGCTTGAGGGCCCTGGGTCATTTCCCTGGTTCCTAGCTGTATCATTAGCCGGTTGTACTGGGCGGTTGGCATTGTGTAAAAACAGAGTTTGCACAACGTGGCTGTCACTGCTGTCCTCGTGGGGCTGGCCCTTGGCTGATGTCTGCTAACTTAAGATGTTGGGAGAGTTCCCACCATTAACTGAGATTAATGGCTCAACCGTGCCTAACCTATTTGGGTTTACGGGGAGCATCTACTCTCCTTTGGGGAGTCTGGCACTGTGGCTCCTGCTAGACGGATGAGAACTACATGACCAGCCCCCTAGTAAAAACCTTGGGGTGCTGAGTCTCTGATGAGCTTTCGCAGTTGGCCATAATTCACACGTGTC